CTAAAATCACTTTAGAGTTTGCATTAATGGCATAATAACCCATTTGACAATTATGCTACGAAAAAAGCCTTTCTCTTAAGCAACAATTTGAGCGTTCATCCTTTAAATTGAAGCTTTACATATCTCAGAGCGCCACAAATGCTCAAACTTGAAGCTATTCTGTAATAGGAGAAGACCGTGAGCGGGCAGAGGTTAGCTAAATTCAAAATCATTGCAGGCTTACATCTTCACATAGTGGGGATATAGAACCATTCCTATTGTCGTCTGTACATTGAGCGGTACTCTAATCTTCCTCGTCCTAATTTTGCTGGCATAATAGGAGCTCTAGAAATGGCTAATTTTCAGTGCCGTCGAGAGTTGTGACCAAGAGAATGCCGGGCAGAAATGAGGTTCTACCACAATTTCCTCTTCCATTGAAGCTTGATGGAAAAGGCTTATTTGACTCAAGGATAAAGTCTGCATGCGACTCGTTGAGTATCCTCAGAATGGGCGAGTACTCAGGAGATGGACTTATGAGCGATGTGGTGATGGTTCCAGGATGACATCTGACGTCTTTTCTCAAGGGCTGGTACGTTTTCCTCTAGTCAAATCTTGTTATAGGTAAGGTCAACATTTTTATAAGCTGTTAGCTGAGTGAAATTAGCGAGTGTCGCTCTTCCATAAACCACTTTTTTGCAAAAATTGTTTTGGATAGTCACGCGGTATGTTGATAGAAATCAAGAAGAAAATCAAAATTAGCTCAACACAAACATCTGTAAAGACTTCGATTAAAGAACTATTATTCTCAGCAATGACTGTTCAAAAAATGAACAGCAAATCTCGGCCTTTGAGTCATTCTAGTTTGCTTCCTTTGGAAAATAGTGGGATTTTCGAAAAGAGATGCCTAGGGGTTCGACTCTAATAAGAATTTCAAAAATTTTTTTAAAAATAATGGCAATTTCTTCAAATTGTAGGGGGTGCAAGCAAATTTTACTTCTTTTCACTTGATTAATGTAGAAGCAACTAAGTGGCATGAAAATAAGCAAAAACTATTCACATTCATAAAACTCAGTCTATCTCGGAGCGTACGAGTGGCCTAACATAAACCCTGGGAAGTGGGCTTTTGCAATTAAGATTACCAAACTAGTGCAAAATTCAAATGATTTTCCTATGCAGGAAGTTGTAGCATTACAGTAACATGTCCGATACCGAACAGAAACTAGCGTCTGGGTGGCAGCTCATTACGTTCCCAAAGAAGGAAACTTGATAATGGCACAAGAAATTGCCTACCGTATTCAGTAATGGCAACAATTTCTAGAGTTCTCAATAAATTTGTATGATGTCAAAGTGACGCGTTAGAAAGCATGATGTATTCAGTAAACTCACGACATAAACCTTTTCAGCTAGAAGAGGGTCTATCAAACGAATCAATAAGGTATTCATACCACGACAGGTGAAAAGTTATCTCTCCTCTTTTGAAACTTTCCTTGTGTTTCAAATGTGAAGCGTCATAAAAATCTTCATTGTGGCACAGCCGCAAGCTATAGATTCAAACTTTTATATAAACAGACCTGGTCCGCTGTCTCCGGTGGCGCACAATATCAAACAAGAACGGATATTTAAACGAGAAAAGAAACTTGTGGAAGAAGAAGCTGCCGAAGAATTTCAAGATAGGAATAAGGTGCGAGGAAAAGGGGCCAAAAACGAAGCTGAATCGAAAGAGCCTCGAAAAGCATATGCGCAACTGAGTACAGCAGAACGTAGGAGGCTTAGCAAAGAGCCAACTGATTTGCACATCAACGAAGGTGCTGCTCTGAAAGAGATGAGTAAGCTCTATCGAGATTTGCTGGAAAGATTTGAAAATCTGAAGCAGAAGCAAGAATCTCAGGTTTGATTGCTACAATTTTCATT